GCCAAAGCAGAAAAAGAGGCAATGGCTTGTAACATAGCTCACCTGTTCACAGCTTCAGATTTACTTCCATAAACAGTGCATGTTGTAGTAACCTGGTGTTATGGAAACACAAGGCCTTCCTAAATTGAATTTGTTCTAGGGTGTTTTGACCCCAGATACTTAGGCCCCTTTCAGATGGGCGCCTTCAGTTACAACCTGCTGATTGAAATGAATGCCACCATTTCAGAAAAAAAAAAAATTACCAGACCCATGTTGGTCTATAGGGAATTGGATGTAAACAGGCATTTACATCAGATTACCTCTGATCTGTCATGGTTAGGTCCAGGGCTCGGCCATCCTGACAGTTGCGGGCGCGGCTTCTCTCCCCCTCACCGCTCCTCCATCCTGACAGCAGGCAGCACTCCCTCCTGCGCCCCCACCCATGTAGAGTGAGGCAGACGATTTTTCGTTTACATGTGAAATCGGCGATGTCGCCGATTTCACATGTAAACAGTGTGCAGCCTGCTCCCCCTCCCCCCTGCACTTACCGTGTTTCCCCGCAAATAAGACGCTGTCTTATATTTTTTTTGGTTTAAAAAAAACACACTAGGTCTTATTTTTGGGGTAGGTCTTACCATACCATAATACCGGTAGAAGACTTAGAAGACAGGAGTGAGTGGCAAATTTAGGAATAGGGATATCAGGGCAATCAGGGGTGACGTAGCTTTCCAAGAGCAATTTGGTAACCAATCGCTGGCCAGAATGAGCAAAGTGCGCTTTCACTATGGATTCCTCACAGGCGGAGGGCATTTGGTATTACTCCGCCTGTGACTGGAGCCGGCGCTATAGAGGAAGCATCAGCTTCTGCGGTTCTGCTCCCTTCACTGCCGCCTCGCTTCCTCTAGCGCTGGCTTCGTTGGCACCGCTGATTCTCTCCCGCGGCTCTTCAAGTTCCCCCTTATTCCACCACCAGCCCTGGGAATGGTCACAACTAGGTCTTATTTTATTTAAAAAAGTTTAAAAAAATTAAGAAACAGTAAAAATAAATGACACAGCCCTGCCATCTGGTTGCCATTCTCCATTGATGGGAAGGGAGGGAAGGTTCACAGGGTTGTTCCCGGGGGGCGCATCACAGGACCTGGCCTTGGGGTGGCAGGGAGAGTAAATCCGGCCCTGGGGTGGGGGGCGCTGGAGGGAACGCTGTCATGTCGGATGGCCAGCGGTGAGGAGACAAGCCGCCCCGAGGACGAGCTGTGTCGGCAGCCTGGCGCCTTTGTTGCCATGGCGCCCTGTGCGGCCGCACAGCTCGCACACCCCTAAGGCCAGCCCTGGTTAGGTCTGTTGAAACGTAACTCTGATCCACTTGTTTTTCTGGACCTGACAGGAGCTAGGGATAACTGGACGTAAATGGACACACGTTCGTTTAGAACCGGCTGACCATAGATTACCATCGGGCTTCCGATCAGATCCGCTTGAAAAGCTGACAGGCAGACCTGATCGAAATGCCTGTGTGAAAGGGCCTTTGTTCTGCAATAAACACATACAGTATAACCTCCCAATACTCTGCACTTACACCCTTGATGTCCATGCAGTCCTGACTACCCACTGCTTCTTACTGTTACACCAACCAATGAAGCTGCTACATTGTTTCTGGATATACAGGACTTTGCAATAATTTATTGTATGTTGAAAACAAATAGGCCAGGGGCCTAATTGGGCAAACGATATATATCAACTAATGGAAAAACTTTTATATGAACCCCATTTAGCACAGAACTGTAGTTGCGTGTTATCTAGGAATTGGAGGTAACCAATTCAATGTAACAATAATTGTAATATCATGGTGCAAGAGTGTCTGTACTACAGTAGCCCATACAATAAGGAGTCTTCATGAATGACACCATTTACCTAATGTTGAGGTCATTTACCTCTGTTACACCGTTATCGATTTGATCATTGGTGGCCAGACTGCCTTGCATACAGAGGCCCAATATCTACTGACAATGTGCTTTTTAATTAGCCAGAGCAGAGGTAACCAATCTATTGGGTATTCTGCATGAGGAGAAAAACATTAAACGTGCTGCTGTTGTGGCCAAAACTTCAGTCATGGAGATCATGACCGAGACCAGTACTCTTTTATTCTAATAGAGGAAGCACAGCAGAGGGACCTCATAAAAAATATTTGCTACAAAGGAAGAGACTGTTCACTGAGCACACAGAAGACAGTAACTCTTTCTTACAATTCCTTCACATGCCCATCCTTAGCTGTCTCATCAACCTTTGACCCACCAGAAAGTTTCCATAGGTGCACATGTGACTGCAGCTATGGCCTACACTGTATACTCTTTTAATAAAACCCAATGTGCCTATTAACAGACCAAAATGTCCTGATAAATGAATAGTATCCAGAATATCAACAAGAAAGATAGAAGTATAGATTACTCATGCTATTTAATTTTTGTCTACATGACTGCAGTAATGAAAATATTACTTTGACTTTAATGTTGAAATGTCATTTTGTTTCAGATGCTGGTGATTCTTTGAGCCTAGCTATGAAGTGTGTCAGAACTAAAATACTTTAAAGAAGAACTATGACCTTCCATAAAAAAATATGTGCTGCAGCCCTTAAAGAGGAATGTCAGTTATTTTTAAAAAAATGCTCTCTTTGGTCTAGGGCAGGGGTCAGCAACCTTAAACATTCAAAGAGCCATTTGGACCTGTTTCCCACAGAAAAGAAAACACTGGGAGCCACAAAACCCTTTTGACATCTAAAATGAAGATAACATTGCATATATTGTTTTTTACCTTTATGCTATGTATAGCATGTATATAGGTATATGTGGGCTTAGTAACGCACTGGACTCTGGGCTTAGTAACGCACTGGACTCCGGGCTTAGTAACGCACTGGACTCAGGGCTTACCTGAGGCTGCGCAGAGCCCACCTGAGAGTGACCCTGCAGAGGACACCATGCATAGCCAGGGTCCCTTTTCCTGTACTTCCATGGTACCTCCCAACTCCTCTTACCTGCTGCTGCTGGGGCCTGGCCTCCTCCACCCCCTCCCCTGTCACCTCTGCCATGCGCCCCTGGTACAGCTGATACTCATGTAAGGGACCCCCCAGGCTGCCCAAACCCCTCACATGGGTACCGACCGTACCGCCCTGATGGCGGTGTTCTATCAAAGTTTGTGACGGTGACGTGGTCACACATTTCAATGTAATCCCGCCCAGTTTTTTGGAAGTGGAATGTGTGACCACCAATAGGTCAAGCATTCCAACGCTTCTCAGCTGTTCCAGGGCAGATCGGCTTCGCAAATTGTATGTGCAGAAGAACTGATCTGCCACTGGTCCTGAAATGTCACTTCTATCCGACTCTGTGAGTGCGATCTCACATTCCACCCCAATCACAAAGTCGGATAGAGCCCGGGGATGAAGAGGTTGTGGAGACTGGTTTAACAGCCAGGTGGGACCGATGATCAGGTGAGTATATTTTTTTAATTTGAGCCCCTAGACCAAAACAAGCAGTTAACTCTTTCAGTGAGGGGGTAGCCCCACTGCAAGGGTTATTTTTTTAGATTCCAAGAGTTCCTCATCTGCAGCTATAGTTATCTCTTAGTCCCATAAATACCTGTTGAGCCTACCATTGAAGTCCACTTAATAAAGCTTCCTGTGATGGTGTGACAATGAAGCTGCACTGCTCCTGAATTCAGAGCAGCGTTGCCACTCTCATGTAGCCTGTTCCTGCTTGCACTACAGTGGGATAAAAAATGTTGTAGCTTGTCAATCAGCACCTGTCAATATCTAGTCCTGCACACTCCTTTCTGGATTCATAGCACTGCATCTGTTCCTGAAACCCTCCTACTCCTAGTGTCTGGGAGGGGGACCAGATGAGACACAAATGAAGGAGGATTTGGCTGAGACAGGGATGGTAGGGAGTGTTTTTTTCCATACTTTTTGAGGCTTTTGAATTACAAATTAATTGGATTTGGTGCTTGTTTAGACTGTCATACAAAGGCCTACAGTTGTACTTTAAAGAGTAAGCATTGTGAAAAAAAAAACTTCTATGGTTTCTTCATTATCCTCTCAACCTGCTGTGATGTTATAATGCTGTTGCAGTTCTGTTTTATACACGTGAAAATATTTTTTTTCACATCCATGTTTCAGTGAAGGCTTAATTGGTCCAGGAATAACTACTACCTGTATGTTCATTTCTCTTTCTTTTCCTCCTTTTTAGACCCTATATAAGATAGATATGTATGACTCATCACTGAATTTCCATCTGTCAAAATTTGCAAATCTATTTCTGTCTATGAGATTTAGTTTTAATATTTGATTTAAGTGCTGAAGGTATGGGTTTTCTTCTCGAGAAAATAATATTGGGCAAAATTGATAATTGACTTTTGTTGCTTAGGAATAGTCATACAGATATGTGAATAGTAAAGGCACAAAGTACCACCGAAGAATCTCTCTTTATGGCAACTGTTGAAGTGTATTGTCCATTTCAGGAATAAGACACTTGGGGGTGTATTTCTAATTAGGAGAGCCATTGGCCCTGCAAATCGCTTTGATTATGAATATTCTTTCTTTGTAAATGGATGCACAAAATGAATGTTAATGTAGATGTTTGCATGAATTTTGAATGTCATCTTGTAAATACTTATTTCCTATGCTCCTCAACTTCATCTAGTGGCCATAATGCGGTATTACAAGATGACATTTGAAAATACATTCGATTTATAAAGAAAATATAACATGAATGGTCATTTCTTGCATCCATTCACACAGCGTGAATATTCACAGAGATTCACAGGGCCAGTGGCTTTATGAATTGTTTATAAATAGGCCCCTTGGTGTTTTTTGATATATCTTACAATCTTTCCTTTTTTTAACCAGACTTAACTTGACTTAACAATCAAGCCATTTAGTAATAAAAAATACACAGTGATTAATATTGACAAGTTTATTAATCTGAAAATGAACAGTGGTAATGAGTTAATTCCCAGATTATTGTGCGTATGTTTCCTTTCAGCTGTTTGGTATTGCCATGGGTGAAAAATGGGCAGTCTTAGGATTTCCCATTTATTGTGTCATACTCAGTGTTCTTCAGAGCCATCTCCTCAGCACTTTTGGTCCCCTTATCTTTATGATCAGTTCTGAGGGGAAAAAAACAACACAATAAAAAAATAACACTAAAATCATAATTACAGTGATATGGCGGAACTGGAGCACAATGTGGAAACCCTCAAAACCTGTACAGTGAAAACACTAACAAAACAAAGTTTTCAGTCAAAGTGCCACCTGCCCCACACTTCTGTACACCACTTATCTGCTTTGATATTGAAAAAAATCCAAAGGATGTGCTTAGTGTTCATTCAGAAGTAACACTACCAGGAATCAGAAGGGGAGTCTTTTCTGAACTGCTCTGAAACTCAGAGCTCCCCACTCCAATGTACTGGGAATAGGGTTAGCAGACAGATAAAGCTAGTGAGGAGAACATAGGTCCCACTAGAGGTAAATGGTAGCCAGAATATTGCTATACACGGGTTTGGGATGATGATGATGAAGTGGTGCTTAGATCCTGTTTTTCCCAGACTATTATGATACCTTCTACAAACATATTTTCGTTACATGTTCAGCTGGTCAAACCTGATTTGCACAAAGTCATAATTTACTGGATGTAATCCATGCAAGAGTCAGAGGATTCTGAAATTACAGGCCCTATGTTGAGAAAAACATGGTGAGATGGCGAGAAGAAGGCATATTTGTATTTCTCCACAGAGGGTATTAGAATAAGGGACCATTACTGATTTTAGCTGAGAAAGTTCTACATTGTTATCAAGCTCTCCAACAGATGCTTCAAGAACATGCTCAACACTGCAATCCTTACATGCACAACTCTGACCCACTCAATAAGTGCTTCCTCTGGAATGTTATTTTCCCATCCTGGATGACCCAGATGAGTTAACTGTAAAATGAGAGGGCAGAGAAACTCGAATAATTAGAATATCGTGCAAAGTTCATTTATTTCACTAATGCAACTTAAAAGGTGAAACTAATATATGAGATGTATTCTAATATATGAGACTCATTACATGCAAAGCAAGATAGTTCAAGCCGTGATTTGTCATAATTGTGATAATTATGGCTTACAGCTCATGAAAACCCCAAGAACCGCAAATCCACAATCTCAGAAAATGAGAATTGTACATAGAACAATATCGGACCTCTGAAAAGTACAAGCATGCATATGTACTCAGTACTTGGTTTGGGCCCCTTTTGCAGCAATTACGGCCATTACTTTTGCACGATATTCTAATTATTCGAGTTTCACCTGTATATATATGTTTGAAGGCTAATTGATTAGCCTGTATTTGTGGGAGGAGTCCTTCCCTCCTCTCACACATAAAAGGGGCAGGTAGACTCACCTGGGCACGACCTTCGTCAGCATCCTGCCTTCGCTACGGACGATCGTTACTTCCGGGGTTTGCGTCATTTCCGGTTCGGACGTCACGATCCAGGTAAACGCCGCCGGCGGCCGGCGGTCTCGTTGCTTACTGCCGGGGCTCGTCAGGTCGCCTCTATAGGCTGGGGGTTAACGGGGCGCATGTCGGAGCTTCGTGTGGGTTAGGGGGGGCAGCGCTCACCGGCCACGGTGCTCTTCGGTCTGCACGTGACATTCAGGGACATAGTCTCCTCCCTGCATACCCTGTTCGTGCCAGCAGGGGGCGGCAAACATCTTCGCAAACACTGACTGATTGCACGTTCACTGGGTACGATTTTCCCATCACTCATTTACCTACGGCGGTGTTCTCACTCTGCATGATGGGTGATGCCGCATGGGCGCAAGGACTGGGTTAATTAGGAGCTGACTGCTCGCTCATAAGGGGGTTGGGAGCGTAAAAATAAAGAACATAAAAAAAAAGAGAAAAAATATATAACCATACACGTTCACCATCGCTTGATCGTTCAAACGGGCATTACTTGGCACGTGGGCTCAGCACCGCTCGGCCATCTCTATAGTATTTGTGTATGTATGTTTATATACATTTTTATATTGCTTGTAGCAAAATACTTGTAGATTGAAGTACATGAACCTCTTCTGGAAAGTATTTTGGCCCCAATAGACTTCAATGGGAGGGCATGAGAAACATTTGGAAAATGCACAAAAACCAAAAGGAGAACTATGAGGTGAGTGATTTCTACTCATTCTCATAGTCAGAGCCGACCTGTGACAAAGAAGCTGTCACAGGTTGGCTCTATTGATTGGGAAGTGAGCAGAAACATGCCGCCGATTAGCTTACTTCCCGATTGTCTCCCTGCAGTGAGCGGTGACTGGGTCACCGCTCCCCGCAGGGTTTCGCCCGTCCCCTCTCTGATCCTCCAGCACTGAGTGGAGGAACGAATGGGGGAGGGGGCAGGCACAGCTGGCTCTGACTCTAGATAGGCAGAGCCAACTGTCACTCACACCGTTGGGTGGATCCAGGCAGTATTGTCGGGATCCGTCATGGCTGCGGCGCTCTCAGTATATGATGGGCAATAGCCCGCCATATACTGAGCTTTGGGTCAGAAGGTTAGCATATGTCCTCCTGTGATCCTAAAGAGCAATATGGGGAAAAACACTTACAAAATAATTCTCTTTTCAGCATTGTTTTGCCTAGTAACTAGCTTTACATTGGCTAAAAATAAAATAAAATGCTCAAGCCTTAATGGTTTTCCATTTTGGCCCAATTGAAAGCAGCATCATCTGTGAAAATACTCCCACAGAGCACTCAAAAAAAGTTTAAAAATTATTTAAGGCGTTTCTATTGAAGTCGATGGGGACAAAAAATTTCAAATCTGCATGAAAAGAAGCTCATGTACTTTTCAAGCTCCAGGCGTTTTGCTACAACCAGCAGGTGTGAACAGGGGCAATAGAATACATTTGGATTCCTTGGTTTGAGCATTTTGTAGCTTCAAACTACAGAACACCTAGGTTTGTATAGGGCCTAACATCTGTAGCGGAGGAGGTGGATTCTCTCAGCCCTCATTCACACCTAGCATGTAGTAGTGCTTTTTATGCCCTACAAAACGCTAAAAGAAAAGCCCAAAACAAAATCCTATTAATTTCTATGTCCATGTTCACATCTGAGCGTTTTTTGCTTGTAGCAAAATTCCTGTCACGGGAAAAAAAGTACATGAGCTTCTTTTTGGCAGCTTAAGTGCATCTTGGCCCCATAGATTTCAATGGAAATGTTCAAAAACGCGTGTTTTTGCTGCGTTTCTGCACGTTATATGTGCATTTGGCCATTTACATCAATGTGTCACAATCTGCTCATAAAAGCGCGCAACTTAATGGATGCGCATAAAGCATGCAAAAACCTGCAGCGGAAAAGCACATAGAAACAAGCGAAAACAATGTTGCCTAGGTGTGAATGCAGCTAATCTGTGTCTTGAAGAGCTACATTGGTCAAAGAAACTTCAGCATTTCATTTTTCTAGGTGTATTGAACAAATATGTCCCCTGCCGCGCACTCTGGTTTCCAACCGCCATCTGCCACATCACTGCAGCTCTGCAGGGACACAGTACTAAGGGGGTGACTGTAGGGATGGAATTACATGTCTGCAGCAGGGGACACAGACATCCGAAGGTGTCAGGTGCTGACAATGTTTCTGAAAGTGTAGCTCTGCAGGAGAGCGAAGATGAAGAGCATTATTGGTGGGGCAGGTAGGTATTATTATTATTATTATTATAATCTATAACAGGGTGGCTTTTTAACCCATTTTTTCTGTGTATGTAGGAAATGTTATACGGCCTACTGTATGTATTGCTTTCTCATTCATTTCTATACTCTGCTTTGGGAATTTTTGTCTTTGCTATAATCTGAAAATGACTGTGATAAACATGGTGCTTATTTTGGCTAGTAGCCAGGGGCCAGGTAGCAGTTAATAAGTATCTTAGGACAGATGCGGCTCTAGAGTTTGCGAGGCCTTAGGCGAAACCTAAACACGAGGCCCCACTCAGGCCTGTGTGGTCTCACCAGGGCTCTGTGGGGTCTAACCAGACCCCACAGAGCCGCCCCAGTGAGACCCCCAAAGAGCCCTGGTGAGACCCCACAGAGCCCTGAATAACCCAGGGCTCTGTGGGGTCTCACCAGCCTAGTTAGAGCCCTGGTGAGACCCCACAGATCCCTGGTTAAAGTAGGGGTCTGTGAGGTCTTACCAGGGCTCTGTGGGGTCTCACCAGTCCTGGTTAAATCCCACAGAGCCCTGGTGAGACCCTACAAAGCCCTCCTTTAACCAGGGCTCTGTAAGGTCTCACCAGGGCTATGTGGGTGTCTAATCAGCTTGGTTAAACCCCACAGACCCCGGTGAGATCCCAAAGAGCCCCGGTGGGATACCACAGGGCCCTGGTTAAACCAGGGCTATGTAGAGTCTCACCAGCCTGATTATACCCTTCAGTGCCCTAGTGAGACCCCACAGAGCCCTGGTTAAACCAAGGCTCTAAGGGGTCTCACCAGCCTGGTTAGAGCCAGGGGAGACCCCACAGTCCCCTGTGGAGACCCCACAGAGCCCTGGCGAGACCCCACAGAGCCCTGGCGAGACCCCACATAGCCCTGGTGAGACCCCACAGAGCCCTGGTCTCCCCAGGGCGATGTGGTGTCTCACCCGCACCAGGGCTCCGTAGGGCCTCCCCAGGGCACCAACCATGGCTTTGTGGGGTCTCGCCAGCCTGATTAGACCCCTCAGAGCCCTGGTACCAGGGCTCTGTGGGGTCTCACCAGGGCTCTCACCAGGGTAGCAGGGCTCTGTGGGGTCTCACCAGGGCTCTGTGGGATCTAACCAGTCTTGTTAGACCCCACAGTAGGCCAGGGGAGACCCCACAGAGCCCTGGCGAGACCACACAGAGCCCTGGCGAGACCCCACAGTGCACTGGTCTGTGGGGTCTCACCAGGGCGATGTGGGGTCTCACAAGCACCAGGGCTCCATGGGGTCTCACAAGCACCAGGGCTCCATGGGGTCTCACCATGGCCTTGTGGGGTCTTACCAAGGCTCTCTGGGCACTCACCAGGGCTCTGAGGGGGTCTCACCAGGGTAGCAGGGCTCTGTGGGGTCTCACCAGGGCTCTGTGGGGTCTCACCAGGGCTCTCTAGGGTCTCCACAGGGCTCTCACCTTTGCTGTAGCCTGTGAAGGCTGCCTCTCACCTGGACTGTGCAGGGAGCGTCTCGCGGGCGGGACCGTGCAGGACCAGCAGTTGCTGACGACGTCCCTGTCCATCTGCCCCTGACGATCCGCCCTCCCAGTCAGATTGAACTCCGCCCTCCCAGCCAGATTGGAATCCTCGCGTGGTGGATGGGAGGGGTGAGGTCTCTTCCCATTGGCTGGTGGGCGGAGCTCCAGAAGACCACCGGCCGGATGAGCTCTCAGCCCTGTCGCTGCCAAACTGAGAGTCTGAGTTTGACAGCGACAGGGCAGAGAGCTCATAACGTTACCTGGCTGCGAGGTAATGTGCGGCAGGGCAAATTAGGCGGCCACGAGGCCTAAGGCGACCGCCTAATTTGCCTCATTAAAGAGCCGCCTCTGTCTTAGGATATGCAGTAGGAGAAGTATGGACCATGTACTCAATGGAAACTGCCCTGGTTGCTCTAAATAGTGACATGTCTGGAATGTATTCATACAGCCTTGTAAAGTTACCGATACTATTATTTTAATAGGAGCTCTTTTTTACTATGGCAACAGCCTAACATAGAAGCTAGAGTTTAAGAACTACAAACTCTGACCTGTGAAGCTATGGGGATAAACACAGAGAATGCCTTGTATGCTCAGTGGCTCAGACTTTCAGTCAAGAGTACGTAGCACCCGTCCTCTTGGGGGGTGCAGAATGACCCCCTACGCACTGCGGCAAGCTAACATTTTCCTCTCAGGGTCTGGACTTTGGTGTATAGTGGGGTGAAAAATATATATGTTATCTATGATATGAGGATCAAAGCTGAGGATCAAAGCTGTGAGACAAGGTTGCTAAGTATAAACTTGTTCACGCTGGAAGTGAGAAAATTAAGAGGGGACATGATTTTGCTGTACAAATGGTTCAGTGGTGATGGAAACATCGGCACTATACTTTTTACTGTAAACTCCCTAACAAGGACTAGAGGTGGTGGAGAAAAGATTTATAAACAAAGGGTGTAAGGGCTTCTTTTCAGTTAGAGTGGTTACATTTTGGAACTCTCTGCCACAAGCAGTGATATCTGCTAAGAATATTGACTTGTTCAAAGATCAATTAGATACCGTCCTAAAGAGACCGTAACATACAGGGCAGTGGCGGAGCTAAGGAACAAAGGGCCCTGGTGCAAGATTTTTTTTTGATGATCCGACACTCTCGGCGCAGAGATGGGGGGCCCGCTGGGTACCGATCTGGCGCTGGGACTGTGCTGGGCCCCCTAGAGGCCCGAGGCCCTGGTGCGTCTGCACCGGCGGTAGTTCCGCCACTGATACAGGGGTACGGGTATTCTTAAATACTAGACCACACAGGGACTCTTATAGACACGCATGCCCAACACACACACAAAGGTTGGACTTGATGGACCTGTATCTTTTTTCAACCTCAAATACTATGTAACTATGTATGTAGCCAGAATCAAAGGATAACGGTACTGGGATACCTACCTTTCCACATCCTGTATGGTCTCAGGGAGAGGCACACCAAGTGTCTCTGGAAGTAGAGAAGTTGCAACCCCAGAAAGTATAGCACACAGGCTAAAGATAATGAGGGGGAGGTGGTGATAATAATCTGCAGTCATCTGAACGAGCGGAGCAACAATTCCTCCCAAGCGTGCCATCATAGTTCCCAGCCCCATGCCAGTCTGCCTAAAATAGAAGTAATAAATTATCAGTCTAGGAAAAGTAATAAATCAGGTCTTATCTTCCCACTCCATGTCTTACCTGATGACAGTTGGGTATAATTCCCCTGTGAATAAGAACACGCAGTTAAATGCAGCTGCAAGACATCCTTTCCCAAACACGACCATTGCAAATCGTGCAGTATGATAGTCTAGAAGACACAAATGAATGTAGAAAGTTTTACTGCAAGTGTGCTTAAATCAATAAGGTCCAATCCAATAAGTTCCATAGTTCCATATGGGTGTCTCTTCTAAGGACCTAAAAAAATACCTTTGGGGGGGTTGCAGCTATTTCCATATAACATCTACAAATAATATTATGCAAATCAGCCATTTACACAGACTGACAAAAATGGCAATGTTTTGGACACTTTGGTCAGTAATGAATGGCTTTTGCAAGCTTTACAGTGTCAGAGCACTGTCTGCACTCTGCACTTAATGTTGAGGTGGAACTACAGTTTGTTTCTAGCATTATCATAGCACTTTTGGTTTTGCTAAGCTTACCCTGTAACATTGGGGTCTATTCACGAAGCAGCCGAAGGATTTAGCCGTGGCTTCAGCCGATCCTTCGGCTAGCTTCGGCCCCAGGACCCCTTCGGTTCAGTAGAACCGAAGGGCTGCTGTACAGGCTATTCACAATAGCCCGTACAGCTCCCGAACTTAGTAGAGCGGCTCAGTCGAGCCAAAGGCATATACCTCGGCTCGGCTGAGCCGCGCTGAAAGCCGAAGCTTGCCGAGCGGCCGGCCATTGGCCGTGATGTTACGGCTGGCTCCGGGCACTTGCAGAGAGATCAGCGCCCCTGGTTACCAGCTAACCAGGGACACTGATCTCCATACAGCAAACTCTCCCGGGCGCTCCAGGAGTCTCCCGCTCCCGGCCGCCCAGGAGAGAAACACTACTTTTCTAGATTCCTATTGGCTATTTCAATTTGCAATAGCCAATAGTGAACTAGCATTGCACCCGCCCTCTGCTGCAGATCTCCATCAGATCCATCAGCAGAGGGCGGGTGCAATGCTAGTTTACTATTGGCTATTGCAAATTGAAATAGCCAATAGGAATCTAGCAATGCATTCCTATGGCCAAAAATTATTTTATGTTTTTCTATTCTGACACTGCTCCGTGTCAGACAAAAAAAGAAAAAGCACTGTTACTCTCCTGGGCGGCCAGGAGCGGGAGACTCTCAGAGTGCCCGGGAGAGTTTTTCTTTCTTTTTTTTTGACGGCAGCAGAACCGCCGGCCAATAGAAAACTGTTGGGCGGAGTTAGCTGTCATCGCTAGCTCCGCACAATCGTTGTCTATTTATTTTTTTGTACTTTTTTAACTATTTTTCTGTTCTGCTCAGTCCCGGCTAAAATCAGACGTACCAGCCTGAAGTGAATAGCCGAACAGCGCTTGGCTCACTTCGCTTTAGGTCGGTCATTGACTCAGCTGCCTACGGCCTACGGCAGCTGAGTGAATAGACCCCATAGTTTTATTGCCTGTTGATCCTGATAGTCAATCTGTTATTTTCTCACTTCCCGTAATAGAGTGACAGCACTGTTCATTATGCACTAAAATCACAAAGCAGTGTTGTCATCCTTCTCACAAGGTAGCCTTTGGTGGGATTGCCTTTTAAATGGACTGTAAAGTGTATGTAAAGCCACGTTTTTTTTGTTTTTTAGGTTCAGATAAAAGTAGGGATAGGTTAAAATGCCTGTGAGGTTTCTCTTTTGTTGTATGTGTACCATCAGGGAGATTTCCTTTTACTTCCTGTCTCTGAGACACAACAGGAAATAAGAGGAAAAAATCTTCAAAGTGAGTGAGAAATCCCTTTCTAGACAGCTGTCATCGGAAAAAAAGTGTCTCCAATGAAAGAAGTGGTAATAAAGGTTTGTCTCAGCTGTAACTATTACTTTAGCTGGACAACTTGGCCTGCTAAAGCCAGACGAAAATAACGAATCTACTGGCAGGATCAACAGGTAAAACAAAAACTGCCATGTTAGTGTTTTTGGCAGACTGCATTTTATGTGACCCATTCTTCTATTTTTATACTTTTTTAGGCTTTGTATTTTTACTGATTTATTAATGAAGAGAAACTATTTTTTAAGTTAGGTCTAAATAGTGTCAGGGTTGGGGTTACAGGGAAGGTTCGGATTACAGCCACGGTTAGTATGAGGGCCCATTCACACCTATGCTCTCTACAGCATTGCACATTTCATGCATTACAGTGGCATTCATTTTCAATGGCACCCCAATGCACTACAGTAGGGGTAGCCAAACTTTGGCCCTCCAGCTGTGGTGAAATTACAAATCCCAACATTCATCTGCCTTTGAAAGTTATGCCTGTGGCTGCAAGGACCCATTCACATGGGGCAATTTGGGATTCCCGAGGCAGGAATCCCAGGTGTCCCATTTTGCATGTATCACATATGATTATATATGTACTGCTGCTAACAGATGCGGCCGCTGTCACCTGGTCATTAATGTGAACAGGCAGTGGAGTCACAAGGGGGGTGCGGGGGGTGCGGCCCGCACCCGGGTGACACCACTGGGATTCCCAATTTGCCCAGTGTGAAAGGGGGCCTTAGAATCTTGCAACGTTAGAGACACCAGACTTGCACCGGAGGTCCACTCTATTCCAGGCACCTCCGGCAGCCATCAGCCTCCCTGGTTCTTCTCCTTAATAAGTAGCAAAGGCCTCCTCCAGGCTTGAGGCCTAGCAAAGCATTTCCTGCACTTTAGAATTCCCACCCCCAGGCCTAGCCCGGGGGCAGGATGGACAGCACCCAGCCCTGACTGGACTCTGAGCAATCACTGAACTGGACTGAGCACATGGCAATTCCCCTAAGTATATATGCCCTGCCCCCGCATGCACCACTGGCTATGAGAGCCCCAGTGATTGGCTGGTGGACTGCACACACACTCACAGTGTCCCCCATTGGTTGTTCCACACTGCAGCAGAGCTACACTCCACTCAAGCAGGCACAATCAATGCCAGAACACCTGGAATTAACCAGATAAATGCCAACTATATTTCACCCAGACTGGCTACAGCTCTGGCAATCACTACATTTCTAGTAGCCACTCCACTAAAGGTGGTAGGGGCTACAGCAGTATTCAACAAAATACAGTGTAAGGTTCACAGGCACGGTTCATATGATTTGGGCTTTAGGACAGGGCATTGCTATCTGTAGTAGAAGCTCTGCAGTGACAATTATCAGTGCCTATCTCTCGCCGCTAAAAGCTGATGGATCACATGATCCTGGCTAATTTTTTATCCTGGGGCCGAAGCTAGCCGAAGGATCGGCCGAAGCTACGGCCAGATCCTTCGGCAGCTTTGTGAATAGACCCCTGAGTCTTTGAAAATAAATGTCCCTTTCTTTTGCATACTCCTGGTGTGCTGGTGACAATTTGCCATTTTATGATTGCTAGAAATTCTTGAACAAGAGACATTTCTTATGAAAATCAAGCAGTGTATAGGCAATATTGGCTAGATTTTTAACTTAAATTACAAAATAATTATTTTTGAGTTATTTCATGATAAGTAGGCCGAGAGGCTGAACAAGAACTCACAATAAAACATCAAAACAATTAGAGTGTATCAAGTTTACCTCCAGGAAGAAAGATATTCACTAAAATTGCAGCACCAGCTAAAATTAAAGTAGAGACCTGAAGAACACGACGCCCAATATAAGTCATCACAAAAAAAGAGAAAAACTTGGCTGGGATGTCTACAGAGCCAAAAATGACTTGAATGATATATATGCTGAACCCAAATTTCTGAAGGTCCATGGCAAGACCATAGTAGGCAAAACTGGTACTGAACCTGGTCATAGAAAAAAAAGTGCACATTAGAAATCTGAAGGGCTCTTTAGGTGTCCAGAGAAAATTATGTAAACATAACTGCCCATATAGTGAAAGTGTTAAGGGTTAAAAATGGAAAATACTACTACTAAACCTATGGCCTTTGGGTCCAACTTTGGCCATAGTTCAAGTATGCTTGTTCCCTTTACCCTCCAAAGCATTAGTAAACTATCATCCCACTGTATTTTTAAAAAACATATGTAGGTGCATGTTAAAAGAGATCAAACAGCTTGTTTGCATCAAGTCCCAGCGATGTTACTAATGACAATGTAAAATTAGGACAACTCAAAAGCGGCCTCCACTGAGCACTTGGTTGGTTGTTTGTTAGTTCTGCTGTTTGGTAGTGTAATAAAATAGAGGGTATTGGCACAGTCACATCATTTTTAAAGTGTCAGACATTGACCTGCGTAGGAAGCACATGCAAGGTTACATAACAGCAAACAATTAGACACTTGGTCCTATGTTCCTAATTTTCTTTGTAGCTCACATTTTGTAGACACAATTGTTAAAGTAGAACTCCAGCCTCACCTGTTGATGTCGCATCTGCTTCTGCCACTAGTGCTTAATGGAAACATGCATAGTTTTGTAACTTTTATTCTTCCACTTCCCCCACTGTATGCCTCTAAATCTTAATTGAAGGACATTTCAGGAGGCATGCCTGTATGCAGACACCAAGTCTCCCACAATACCCACTGATTGTCTTAGACTGGCTTATTTACACCTTCCTGATGCTACTAACTCAGATGCTACACACAACTTCCATAGAGCCAGTTTCATCTAGAGGAGAACCCGTCATTACAGAACCTACATACTATGCATAAATCCTACAAAGGACCTAGGAGTTACTGCCAACAGTGTACTATTAATTGTTGTTTTGCTATCTCTTTATGCATGCAGTGTTGTTTCTCAGTCAGTAGATCTGGCTTGTTGTGTTCCTTATTGTATTGGGTAATAATGTGTTGCTATATTATCTACTTATACACAGTGGCAAACAATTTGGTTTAATAATGACTACTTGTGTTGTATTGGTTAAGGAGACTTTCATAATAAACAAAAGGTTTCACTTAAATGACTGGTTAAATATTTTTTTAAATAATCAGTGAGTTCATCTATGTTTCGTTTATTTCAACTAGATGGGTTGCTATTGCATTTCAGGTGGTAGTTGGTACTCTCAAAGAGGCTGAATAAATCCCATTTTTAATTACTTGTGAGATGGTGCCCCTAAAACAATCCAGTTTCACACAGCATTTAGGCCTCTTCACAATATTATTTGGTCTGTGTGATGCAGCCAGTGTAAGAAATAATAATGTAAACTAGTAACTGCATCTGTCTAACCAGATGCAATTTAAAATTGATCTAAGAAGTGACCACATATAAGTCTACCAGTCCAAATTCAATTTTTAAGATACATTACCAACTTGCATTAGCTCAGAAATTTGTCAGCCAGACTATTTAACAGGGAAGATACGCCCCTTCATAGCCATGGTGAGGAAATCAGGTTAAATTATTAACTGTTTAAATGTAAGTGATATCACTTTAAAACATTACCCTCCTTCTCCAAAAGAGCAAAATTCTTCTATCATCTGATAGCTGGTATGCACGCATACTTGGGTGATAGTACATTTAACAAAAGAGAAGTGAATGGAGGAGCTTGCCTACAACTCTATTCTAATTTTGGTGGAAGCCACATGCAAGTCAAAGGTAAGTGGAGAACAGACCAGTACTTCATAATACAGTACTTGTGATGAAGCACAATCATAATATTTATAAAACTTTGACTGGCAAAAAAATAAAATAATGGTTAAGCTAACACTTTTATCTTTACATAGGTGATAATAAGAAGGTTAGTACCTACCAAGTGCAACTTATACAAATGGATATGCGACGAACCACAGGAGTCCTTATCAGATCTAACACAGTATAATTAGCCTTACAAGCAGCATTAATTTCTCTTTTCATGTCATATTTAAGTACCTGAAATTAAGAGGTGGAATAATAAGAATATGTTATCTTGATATAAATACTGTAGAAGTTTTAATATAATATATAAACAATTGATTATATAGAGACTTGCCAACACAAACACTAGTAGAGCTATGAGTGGACAAAGTGGACTTGCCCTATGCCACTGCTCAAGTATCATGACTTCCAGGACTGGATATGCAGAAATTAACTTTATTATTAACTTTATTAACTTATGATTTTCTGGTGACCCTTGAAACAATGGCAAGACCGGCTTCTGATAAGTCTTTCTGGGGCTCCCCAATACCAATAAAGCTACAGCATATAATATTTGACAGGTTTCTGAGGTGAATAGTGCTTTTGACACTAATGGATAGCATTTCATGAAACCTGACGTGACAGCTGTTACCTGTCATTGGCAATGTTTGGATGCAGTGCTGGAGGTTGCCTTACCTCACTGCTGAAAGTAGTGCTAGGCACAGCGCTGTGCTCTGCCCTGGAACTAGCAACTAGTCCGGGAGTCAGACAGCAGCAACTTCTAACAGCTGTATGAAGCACCCATCTAGATAAAACCCTATGGAAACTATACATGAAAGGCAAAGGCGAGATTGAGACGGACAACAATTCTTTTACAACATACAATTGTTTGACACAGATCATTCACTATATCCTTTGGTCCTCATATTGAGTAAACATAAAGAAGAATTATACTTCCTACTCTGTCCTGTAAATCTTATTTTAACCCTGATAATTGTTTTTTTGCTAAATATGTCCCAGTCTGATTCATAAACATGAAAATTAATTTTCCCCAACATGTCCATTATGCAATACATATTTAAATGTAAAGTGAAATTAGTATAAGCGATTTATTTTTAGCATCAGATTCTTAAGACCATATATTAAAGTATTACTGGCTGATGTTATGGAAATTCACTTGGTTCAACGCACAAATCCATGTCGCATTAAGCTGCGCCAAACGCAAAGAATTTCCCCCGTTGTACTACGCTCCTTTATGCGAGGACTGGAAGTCCCGCCTTCTATAGAGTCATGTAGAGTCAGGAGACAGATGTTGCTTGCTCGATAATCCCATGCTAAGAGACCTGAACACAGGTATGTTTATTGTTTATACCTGCCCAACAGGAAGTGATGTCAGACAGGAAGGGGTGTCTCAAACAGCGAGACAGGAAGTGATGTCAGACAGGAAGTGAACAGGAGTCAGCTAACAAATCACATGTAGTAACAATCAATGACCACCGGAGTGACTTTATCCCGCGTGGCTCAGTGAGCAATGCCACATAACGTTACTAGGATTCTCATGCTCGCTCATTCACAGGGACAACGTTATGTCATCTCAGGCGTGTTGATCAGGCACACCAGAGAGAACAAACGCACATTCCTTTCATATACTGTGTTCAAGACAAATGTATCCACGCAAGCCAATAAATCCATGCATTGCACGGGGGGCCCCAGCCGGTGTCCATACATTCGCCAAGACACAGCTCCGCTGCGCATAAGAAATCTCCTCCAATGGATTAATCCCCCAGTGTCTATTTAAACCGAGACACTGAGAGACTAATAACAAAACATTACAATACACTAAAAACACATCCTAATAAAATTTCCACAACACTGATTTCTCAGGTAAAGGTGTGTAAGCATTTTGCTCTAAGGCGTTTCGATTTGCATAAATATTAAGCAAGAACAGGATATTTTTAACATTGTTATTGCTAAATTTAGCACAATGTGACATGAATGCATGCACACCAATCATAAAATATTCTTCTATGTTGTAGGTGCTGTAGTTTTTTTGAAGAGTTACAAAATCCCATGAGATGGGGTAGGACAGTGATGTAGTGGTACTTATATAACACTTGGCATGCTGTCTGCATAGAATTTGTACTGTATGTTATTTCCATAATAAAGTGGTTGTAAACCCAAAAAACAAACAGTAAAGCCTCCCTAATAATTTTTATTTGTCCATTTTCTTTATTGTATAATTTAAACTTTGCCCTTAAAAAGATTAGCTGTCAATCCTGCCAGTCACTCTGACATCCTTGTTCTCAGTGGCAAAGATATGCAGGTTCATCCGGTTTCTGCAGCGTTGCCATTGCAGTGTGCATGCTGCGGTCTTCTAATAAGTAAGCCATGTCTACTCATGGCCTACTATGAGCCTTGATCCTCAAAGCGGCTCACATCACAGGCAGCAATGTAGGTCACGTGCCTTAATAGACAGATCCACTCTACTCTGTTCAGCCCGGAGAGGAGGACGTGTCCTGCTGATGTTGTTGCAGCTTTTTCCCACCCTCTGATCCAGCAGTTAATTTACATAGAATATGCTTTTTTTTTTAACGTGTTTGCTATGTAAATTGAATGCTAGTGTTGTGTGCTATTCTAATTAGGTCAGAATATGTGTGGATTTACAAACACTTTAATGGTAATTCTTCTTTGGGTGCTCCAGTTTTACTCCTTCAATCATTAAATACCCTTACAAAATAATTAGCCTCTATGTCAGACCACATTCCAAACAGAGATTATTAAAACACGGACAAAAAATAGTTTGGAGGAAAATGTATTTGATGTAATGGCACTTTATTAAGATGACAAAGTAATTTCTGTACTTATACCCTGATACTTAAGTCTCCATTACCAACAATACCACCCACAGAGCACCCACAGAGCATTACCAATAGGCATGAGCTCGATGTTCGAGTTGAACGTTAGTTCATGTCGAACATTGGCAGTTTGTGTGTCGGCCTTTTGGCTAAGATCAAGTGTAGTATCTGTTCTTATCATGAACTATCAGGGCGTTCGGCGGGCTGTTCGCACACCGAGCACCCCGCAAAGCACTGTGCCTTGTGAGCCATGATTGGCTAAAGCCTTGCACCTGACCACCGGTCAGGTGCAAGACTTCGCCCGATCAGGGCCCATTACTCTGTAAGAGCCATAATTGGGCAAAGTCATGATGACTTTGCCCAATCATATGTGGACAACGGCGTAAAAGGGTACCCTGATGTGAATAAGCCCCCTGCCCGCACCCCCACAACCAACGCCCCAGGGCTGTGGGGAAGAAGCCCTTGTTCCCATAGGCACAAGGACAAGGTGCTGTTCCAGGGGCGACCCTGGAAAAGTGCCCTTCCAGTGCCAAGGGCATGTGGCCTGGTATCGCAGGGGGGCGGGCGCTCGCTCGTCCTTTTCTGCCCTGCCGTGTTCGAAAGTCTGAATTCGAACCCCGAACGGGGGGGTGTTCGGCTCATCACTAATTACCAACATACAGTAAGCTCCTAATTTGAACACTTATTTATAACATTCCTAGCAAGATTTGTCATGTAAAGAAAATTTTACTTTAATTTACTGGGGGAGACACCCAATTCCTTGAATTCCATTTTATGTGTTGCATTACTCTCAGTATTTGCCTGAAATTTTATCAGGATGAGGTTTAGGTTCTCCAGCACCATGGGTTTAAGGTGAATCCTGCTGGTTTGAGGTGTGCAGTCCCAGGAAATTTATGTGCAGATACACCTAAGAGCAGTTTATTAAACTGCTCTTGGGTGAATGAGATTTATGAGATTTGCAAAACATTGCATTCTTTTTTTAGGTAGATTTTGCACAGCGTCCAAACTTTTTTGGTATCGGGGTTGTCTATAATGTATATATAATGCTAGATGGTCCAATCTAATTTTTTGAAAACTTTTCCTTGATGACATTTCAATATCTGGAAGGGTACCTCTGAGTCAGTGGAGTCTTGTTTACAACATAAAAACTAGAACACAAATGGATGAATTTTGAAAGTTACTGGACGTAATAGTTTTATACAAACTTTAGGTTGTCAAGTGGATTTCATGTATTCTGTATGGTCAGTTAAAGAGATCAGATGCAATTGTGAATCATTGAAACACTATACAGATCAAGCCAAATCATTAACTGAAAGATTTGGACAACAAGGCTACAACAGAGGGTCTTTGGGAAATATTAGTTAAAGAGTATGGATAGATATTCACTTTTTCGAGATAAACCAGCAAAAGAGAAAATTACTTTAAATTAAGATTATAAATATGATACTGGTGCTAATATCCAATTCCAACAGTTGGAAAGAATTTTACGAAAACTTTGGCCTATTCTAAAGGACACAATTTTCCAAAAGTGAAAAGCTCCTTCCCATAGGACAAAATTGGTCCACAACATTATTAATCCCCCTAAGAATAACTATACTTTTTCTAGAGGAAAAAGTTTTTTTTACATCTGTAGGAGGTGTTTGCCTTGTTGGACAATTGCAGAAAATAACCCACTTCACATCTAGAAGTACTGGAAAAGCGTAGCAAATTAAAAACTTTATTTCTTGTGATACAAATCATGCCACCTACATGCTGGGGTGCCCTTGTGGACTCCAGAATGCGGATCCTACCACATAAAAATTATCTACCATATCTGTGTAAATAATATAAAATGTTTTACAAAACTTAGTGTATCTAGACACTTCAAAGAGGTACACTGTAAGGACCGCAGGGTCCTTAGATCAACAACAGACAAACAGCAGAAATTGCATATTTTAGACTTGCCAAGTGACCTTCATTCCTTAAACCATTTGTTAAAGCAAGGTGTGTCAATGTTAACAGCTGTGTATGTATTTTTAAAATAAGACTGTCACATAGTTACATAGTATTTGAGGTTGAATAAAGACATTAGTCCATCAAGTCCAACCTATTAGGATCTCATTCTAGGAGTACCTGTACCCCTGTATATTGCGGTCCCTTAAGAAATCGTCCAAAAGTTTCTTGAACAATTCCACATTATTTGCTGAAATCACCGCCTGTGGCAGTGAGTTCCAGACCCTAACTGATCTTACTGTGAAGAACCCCCTTCGCCCCTTGTGCAGGAATTTTTTTTCCACCAATTTTAGGTGGTGGCCTCTAGGTATTGTAATGGAGTTAATTTTAAACAGTTTATCGCTAATGTTTCTACCACCATTGAACATTTTGTACATGGAGATCATATCCCCCCTTAATCTCCTCACCTCCAATGTGAACATGTTTAAATTTAGTAGGCTTGTCTCGTAGCTGTCCTTTATCGTTATGACTTAGATGAAGCTTGGATTGTATTTGTGCAGAAATGGAGAACATTCCTGAGAGTTAATAAATGGCCCAAAATGTTAGGACAATAAAGCAGAAATGGATGGCCATCTCTAATAAACGAGTTGCTGTTTATCCCCTTTAATGTACTGTTTATTTCTTCATTACAAATGACTTTACTGCATTTTTGATTCACTAACTGATTGTTGAGGTAGAATGCTATATCATATTTAATCTACTATTCTTAGTACATACCTCCACAGTAAGTTTCTCCACCTCCTCTGTCTTTCCATTAATTCTTGCCACTTTCTTCAGGTCTTTAATGGCCTGCTCATACTTCCCAGTGAGAACAAGCCAGCGACTGGATTCAGGGAGCCACCTGAGTGCCAGATAATGACTTTATCATGGGTTGTAATGTTGGGGCTCTCAAGTTGAGGAATTTGATTACAGCTTATAAATAAAAGGAAACTCTTAGTACTTCTAAGCATTAATAAATATAAGATGTTTTACAGACCTAAGACCACAAAGTTAATGCTATTTACAGCATAGTTGTGAAATGCTATTGAGTACTACCAAAGATAATTAGTAAACATGTGTATGATGAATGCTAGCAAACATTCCAGTAGGTATTCAAAGAGGTGCCTGAGGTCAAATAAAAGAAAAATGGGCTATTGCTTAAGATGTTCTTGAAAATGTTGTATCACCTGCTTGAAAGGTACAGGCTCTGTGTTTTATGTCTTTTGACAAAAGAGGGAATACGAGAAAATCTTTCTATTGTGAGAGAATTCCCCATTGGAAGATCTCCCCTCTCATTCTGTTAACAACTTAAAGTTTAGGAATTGTCCTCACTTTCAGTCTCGGTGACAATGGTTTTCAAGGATAAATAGAGAGGGTGAATCTATCCAATGGTAACCCAGACAGCAATACCAGAAAGCGGTTCTAACCTTTCATAACCTTTAGTAATGGAAATATTTTAGGCTAGAGTACATTTTGTGCAAGCAAGCGAGAAAAGATTACCAGAACTGCTGACTATAAGAACGTTTATGCAATATAATTTTTTGTTTCTCTGTACATGATCCAGCATTGGCCCTGATTTACTAAAGTAGAGCATGTTCAGAAAGTTCAAAGTTAATTTTTACTTTGTTTCACCTCTTTCACTAAAATAAATTGAAATTCACTTTAGTGAATATGGTGAAACAAAATAAAATTACATTTTGATTTTTGCAAAGAATGCCAAATCATGTGTAAGGAAAATTAAATAAAAAACAGCATTTTTGCTGCATATGATTGAATAATAAGAATCAGTACAACTTCAACATATTGATTAAGCTAAGTGAAAATTCACTTTGCAAAGAGAAAATTATCTTAGCTTATTGTATCTAAACTTTGTTTCACCTCATTAAGATAAGTGAACATGTGCTTTATAAGAGAACATGCTCTACCCCTTGCATACACCAACCTCATTGTCTTCTTTACATGTTTTAATTCTAAGGACATGTGCTTTTATAGAAAGCATCTAATTTTTCACTGTGATTGCTGGAAAGGATTCTATTGTCAGCTTTTGCCTGAACACCATAATGGAATAATGTGAGAATGAATTGAGGAGTGACAGTTGCCTGAAGTGGCCCTGATGTCATGTTTATGGGTTCTGCATCCATCTCATAGATGACCACTGTCAGAAAGAACAATAAATTAAGGAGCTTAGAGAATCTGTCCCAGTTGCTTTTGTTCCTCCTATTGATAAGCAGTGCTAATCTCCTTCTTCCCTTCTCTTCACCATAGAGATACATGAATGTTCATACAAGCCAAGCTAGTGGACAGTATTCAATAAATATTTGTCTAGCTGGCAGAGGTTACCATTTATTATAACATCATCTACAGACCATCCATGAAATCTCAAACGAGAGAAGTAAAGGAGGTAAATGTAATTAATTATTTACAGTTATAACCACCATGCTCTTTAAATGGAAATAGCATGTAAAACACAGCTATCAGCAATGATGTACCATTGCCTCACAATTCTAGTCTTCTGGGTTTGTTTGAACTGAACTAGTTGGGTTTATAGACTGCTATTGCGTTGAGTACCGCCGCTAGCAAAAGTGTTATGTAGCAGTACCTCAAGCCCTGTTCTCTTACTGGCAAGGGACACAGTGGCAGGGGCGTATCTAGCACGAGGCAAACTGGGCGTTTGCCTCGGGCGTCATTTTTCAGGGGGGCGGCCTCCCCCAGGCGGAGGGTGAGGCGGCCGGTGAGGAGAGGGGACAGTGAGCGGGACAGCTTCGCCTTCCGACATGAGGTAAATACTCGGACCGTTCATATCTCAGGGTCTGATGAGGAAGCCGCAGCCATTATCAGTGAACAGCTTCCTCATCAGACCCTGAGATACTGTGTATGTGCGGTTTACTGTAAGTGTGTGTCAGCACGGGATGGTCACGGGACATTACCTTCTCGTCCCACTCGTTCTCTTTCCTCCCCTGTACGCTGCACAAGTACACAGTCTCCCCCTTCCCCCAACCCCCCTCATGATTCTCCACTTCGTTTGGGGGCACCAAAGTCACACCCCCTGCCCGCAGTACGATCGGACACATGGCAAAACATTGCCTGCGTTCCAGTCCAGTGTGCACGTAAAAAAAGCATGCAAAGCATGCAGCATTTTTTTTGCGTTCACGCTGGACCAGATGCAGGAAATGTTTTGCCATGCATCTGATCTCACTGCGGGCAGGGGGTGTGACTTAAATGCACCGCCATGCCCCTTCTCACCCCAGAACGAAGGGGGAAGTGAGCGATTGCGGTTCGTTCCAGCAGCTCCGGCTCTGGAATGCACCGCAATTGGTGTGAACAAGCCCAGAGGGGTTTATAGAAGCCTAGGGATCATCCAGAGGTTCTAGGAGAGATGAGCAATTTCTACTTCTCACATATGTTACCCCTGACACCAATAAACTTCCCAGCTATCTATTCAGATCACCATACACCTTACAATCCGCCATACAATCTCTGTTCAATCTACTTCAGATTTTCCAAAAATGGCTGGCTCCTCCAAGTTGTCAGTAGCAGGTTGTCGGCTGTTCATTCATGAATTTCTGAATGGGGAGTAGCACTCCCTATGGAGGACCAAATCTAGTCTCGCCTAGGGCAGCACAAAACCTAAATACACCACTGCACAGTGGAGGTAAAAGTCAATTATACATTATACCTACCTTGTGCCTTCATTTTATTTGTGACTTCATGGAGTTCTCCTTTAAAGGACAACTCCCCCTTTACATACATTTGCCCCAATAACCCCCTGCCCTCCCTATGTTATAAACACTTTCTAATACTTAATGCAAATTACCTGGCAACTTCCTTCACCAGCCATGGCCTATGCTGGCTTAAGCCTTATGGAGAAACAGGCAGCTCAGTAGGCGCAGTAGCTGGTTCAGTAAACAGGACTGGAGCTGGCCAAATGGAGATCTCTGACTGAAGTTAGATAAGTGAAAGTGGCATGGGGATGGGGGGCAGATGGGACAAATTAATGTAAAGGTAACGTTGTTCTTGTCTGTCAGTTTAGGCTTATTAGTATAGCTATACTATGAAATATTTTGGTGTTCTAACATGAGTCCTCTACATTTTATAACAAATATGGTAAGAATTTATAAGTCTTAAAATATAAAACCATAAAAAGAAGTAATACAGAAATTACCATGAATATAAAAAGTAGATGAAGAAGGGGATGGATGCAGCCAACTGCAACATGCGCCAATCCTGAATTAGATAAGCCAATCCCACCAGGACCAGCTGACCCATTGTGTAACAGTATCCAGTGGCTGTGCTGGTGAAGGCTCGTGATTCAGTGGGAATCCACTCCACAACTATAAAGAAAGTGCAGTATTATTTGGTAAGCAAAGCCAGTTCTGGAAGCATCCATAATTAAAGAGAATGTATAATGTTTTTTCAGTGAACACATATTTTGAGTTATTTCTGCAGTTTTAACCTTAAAGTAAATGGAAAGTCATCATCATATCACTAACTTTCCAAATGGTTGCTCTAAGTTTGCTTTCTAACTCTATAAAGTTAATTTATTTGAAAACTGCATACAATTACCTTTTTTTTTTCAATTATTTGTGGTTGCGTGACCGCTATCCCTTCAGTAATATTCATTCTCACCAGAGTTGTGGGTGGAGCTTTCCCCTCTGCACCGACATCAGTACAGGAAGTGACAACGCCAGTTACAGATGTCACTCTGCTCCTAAAAGCAAAGTGAAGCGCTGTATCTGACTAACCGGGTAACAATTTGGCGCATGAGCAATGCAGGAAGCCTCTGAGGCATTTAAATGCAGAATGAAGTGGCTCTGTTTCCAACAATATTTGAGGGGATCAGCCAATTCAATTGCAACAGATCCCCATTGCTGGCATAGCACAAGAAATACAATGTTATTTAGGGAAAGAGCAGAATCAACCTGTACAATTTCTATACAGTCTAGGGCTGTGAAAATTGTACATCGATGAGCATATCTTGAGGGAAACTTGCAAAGGACAGTTTGTCATTTTTTGGCTGGAGAGACACTTTAAATAAATTGTTGTTGTGGTTGTCCTGGCTTTCATTTTCAGACTTTGCTGTTCTATATTTGTGTTAACATAATAAATGCATACTGTATAATTACAGCCCAGCTACAAAAGAGGGTGCTCTATTGTTTACTGCAATCTCTCAGCCTCCCTGCTTAGCAATTGTTGAAATATGATATCAGCCACATAAGCAGTGCATTCTTTTTAGTGGGTTGTAAGAGAGAACAGTAAAGGAAAACCACTCTACTGCAATGCAAAGCAGATAGCAGGACCTACATATGTAATGAACTAATATGGCTACCCCACATGCACATATGTAATTACCAAGTATACATAGAAACAACTGACACACATTGATAAGATGTTATACATTACAGCCCAACTCTATTTAAGGGTTTTTTTTTGTCTACGGGATGATGTCTACGGGATGATGAATAAGGTGACTTATTTCTTGCTCCTCTGGCAGCCGGTGCTCTCCTCCACTGTGCAGCACTCCGGGGATCTTGGTGGGGCCTTGGCATCTTTACTTACAACATACCTCTGGTCTTGTACTGTATATGGTGACTTTAGAGAGCTGTGACCTGGAGGGGTGGGGTGAATTGCTAATAGAAGATACTTTGGGGGACCATGCATACAAAATAGAGGAAGCCTGCAGGAGCGAGGAATGAGGTAAGTATTTCACCTTATTCCAATCACCCTAGACAAAATTAGCAGTTTACCCTTGCAGTGTAAACACTTGAAGGGTAACTTTTTCTCCAGGCCAGACATCAGCTTTGAAATTGTTGGACACACATACTAATACAGTAGCATAATAATAAATTGTATACTTACTCAGAGAATATGAGTTGAGAACAATTCCAGAGAGAGATGCTCCAGTCAGGAATCGGAACACACAGTATAGGATGTAATTGGGAGCAACGGATGCACATATTCCACTCACAAACATTTGAAGGTTTGACCATATGTGTAAAGGTCTGCGACCAAACCTAGCATGACAGATAGGAAAATGTGTTTAATAGTCTAATAAAAGTTTTCAGTACTTCAAGTAATACTACTATTACCATCTTAATGCATAAAACACAGTGAGGGAGATTTATGCCCATGGCAACCAATCAGCTTCTGTCTTTCATTTGTAAAGCTTACCTGAACAAATTGAAGAGAGAATCTGATTGGTTACAACGGGCAACTGATCCAGATTCAGTCTGCTACAGTTTTGATAAATTCCCCCAGTGTATATTTTATGATTTTTTAGTCAGTTGTCAGTCAGATGTCAGTTAAAGTGGAACCCCAGAATCAATTCTTTTAAAGGTTTTTAATATAGTGGTGAAGGGTTAGAAGAATCGCTATCAGGTTTTTGTTGCTAATATTTGAAAAAGTGGAAAGAAAGTGCTGGACCAGTGTGGGGTTTCTCTTGGTATTTCTTATAAAGCAGTAGTTAAGTGATATGAATATGGGTAATCTGGCTAACGAGTAGGCAGCTTCCACAGTAGCCTGGGATTGATAGGGAACACAGTAGATGTAGGAATTAAAATGCCACCAAATAAATTAGTCTAGGCAACCCGTTTCGGGGGTCCAACACCCCATCAGAGCTTAATTAGAATAATCATGTATGTGGACTACAAACCCTGCAGCTGGAAAGTTGAATTGTGTTGTGATGGGAGCACTTCAGGCTTGTCAGCAGCTGGTTTGGCAGCATCAAGTCTAAAGTACTCCCATCACAACACAATACAACTTTCAAGCTGCAGAGATTGTTGTCCACATACATTATTTTTCTCATGAAACCCTGATGAAGGGGGTATGTTTTGGAACTCTGAAATACACTGGTTACTTTATTTGAATGTCCTCTGACCCTTATGGAATAAAGTGTATCTGGACTAATTTAATTGGTGTGGCGCTTCAAACCCTACATCTGCTATGTTTTTATCGCTGTCTATATGCCATCTTGGGGGATTTCCCCTAACTTGCTGTCCTGGTCACAACAAATGTAAATCCTCAAAGAGAACACAGAGCATTAAAATAGGGGTTCTAACCCTTCCCCCTATTCAAAATACTTATATTACCATCTGTGTCCAGAGGTGAAGAAATTTTGCTAATTTAGCGTCTCGTTGAGTGTAAGGGTTCAAACAAGGGATGCACCGATACAGGTATTTCGGTATCGAGTACCAATATTTTTTCCCTGTACTCGCCGATACCAAATACCGATACCGGTCCCATTAAGGAAGCCAGGCGGCGTGTAATGACTCGCCACCTGGCTTCCTGATTATCAGGGAATCCGTCCCCATGCTTCTCGTCACTAGATAACGAGAAAACATGGAGGCGGCTTTCTGGCCAATCAGAAAGCCAGGCGCCGCATCATTACACAGCACCTGTAATGATGGCCAGCTTCCCGAGTCATTACACGCTGCTCGGCTTCCTGATTGGCTGGAAAGTATTGGGCTAGGCATCGGAGCATTTGGGTGTATACGAGTCATTCAAATACTCGGCACCCATACTGATACTAGTATCGGTATCGGTGCATCCCTAGTTCAAACCTTTTCCGTCTACATCAAAAACCATAAAAAGAAAATAATTGGATAAAGTCCAAGTTTGAAAATGTTACCATGTTTTTGAAGATAGTGTTCAATTACTGGTGCACATTTCTAATTTGCACAAATGTACCAGTTTTTTCTGCTTGATTTGCCACTCAAAGATCGCAGCAGGTGGGTCAGCCTAAAAAATGTTATGTAGGAATCCTCCAGAAGTATAAAAGGATGGTGTGTGATTCAGCTAACTAGCATCCACCCAAAATGGACAATGCCAGTTAGGCGTAATATCACACTTTAAATTATTTTCATGCATTCCCAAAAATCTTTGGCTAAAAAAAATGCATAGACTTCTACTGGTTTGGGAGTTCAGCTAACTAGACAAATCATTCGGCCTTGTAATGCGTAACATGATAAAAAAAATTTAATTGTGTTTTTACTTTTAGAGTACACCTGCCATGAGAAGAATTCTGTAGGCTGCCATTGCTCAACTATTATCATCATTATCATTATATTTTCAGAATGTTAGTTCCCTGACTGTCATGCTGGTGCTTTGGCTTCCATGCTTTTGGAGTTACTGACCCAGAACAAGTATAGAAATGAGAAATTCTGACAAGTTTTTGATAATCATTGACAGCATACTTTTATCAGGTCTGTGGGTTATAAGTATTAACCCAGAGACAGCCAGACAACCAGCCAGCAATTGCAACACCTGCCAAGAGCTAGTGAAGTGTCCCTCTCACTTCCTTCCTGTACTGACATTACGGTTAAAATCTTTAATTAGTCTAGTTTAATAAAGATACAGAATACCATACCTTCCAAATGTCCCGCATTTGAAAGCAAATCCCTCTGACCTTTTTCCTCCTCAGTTGTCCCCTTTTTGGTCTGATGTAGAGGTGTCTATGAAAAGGTTCTAATTAACTACTTCTGTACTAAATCATTTATTTTAATACTTAATTATCTTGTTTGCTATTTGTAAATTAATGGTGAAAAAACAACAAATGTGGGTTTAACCAATCATTCTTTGCATATAAATTCTTAATAATCCACATAACTAGAGGGCGGCAAGGGTGTGTCTATTGCCTAAATACATTGTGCTGTAAGGTGTCCCTCTTTCTCATCTCATAAAGTTGGAAGGTATGGAATTGTGTCTGCTCTCGCTGGTTTGTCCATTTATCATTCAGATCATGATCTCCCCTCCACCTGAGATCCTGGTCATTGATGAAAGTCACAGAAACAGCTATTACCTGAAGATTTCCAACTGCTTTGATCTAATGGGCAGCTTTTAAAAACAAGTGATTGGAAACTGAAATTCGGATGAAAATGAAGCAGCCAATGAGATTAGGGATTTTTCCCTAATAGCTCTTCAACATCTGGAGTCTTGGATCTTCAGTCAAGCTGTTATCTCCCCTTCCTCTCATAGTTGTGGTTTTACCTTTATGAAGGGTATCGTTGTCCACCTTTATAGATGGACAGTGTTTCTGGTGGTACCTGGTGGTCTGGTACAGGACATTTGTGCTCTAGCCCTGGCAGACTGAGCCGGTTGTTTGGGTAAAGTATTAACATTGGTATTGGTCTGTGTGTTTAAAAGTAAAGGTCTGGTGAAATAAAGGATAAAGTAGTCACAATTTTCCACACTGCAGCTTCCTTTATTATCATTAAGTTACTGTGTGAGTGGTAATGGGGTGGTTGTTTCATGGAGATGTACAATCCCGTGTAGCTTTCTCTTGACAGTTTACAGGTGTACTTTCATTTCAGCCAAAGTAGTCACAAATTCAGATTACATAATGCATATTATATAGACAGACACATGGTAGAACTTGGCAAAATCTTACTTGTCTGAGAGACCTCCAAATATAATGGACCCAACCAGAACTCCTGACATGTAAATGGACTGAGCCAGTTGTCTCATTCTGCGATGACTGCAGACCAGATCCCACTGCAAGAAAGAAGGGTCGGGGAAGGAGAATGATAAGAAACAACACAGAAATCTGATATGCAAACTACTGTAATGGAGGCAAGTAAGGTGAGAAGTGGAATATGAAGAGTAAGGAACGCTGTGAACTGATGTCATGTTTTACTGCTAGCCGGGTTAGATAGAAAGATCTAAGTAGAGCAGGAGAAGGCTAGAACCCCAGTCAAATGTTATTGCTGCCTGTGTCCCTTTTGCAGATTTTCCTCACTTGTTCTATGGTTAGACCGCTGTCACTATGACAGAGAGGGGAAATCTATGTAACCAATATTACAAATCAGACAGAGATTCTAATGCTTCTCAGTTTTACTCTATGAGTAAGTCGAAATGCTGAAATGCGTTACAGGTTGAGCACATATGCAGAGGAATACACAGTGTGTATTTGCTCTGTACAAAGATTGTATCTTTTGTGAACACCCATGGAGTGTGGTATTTTTTGGATTGTGTTGCTACAAGTGCCTGTCTGCACGTGGGATACCTGGGATACAATTGTGGTGGGAAGCCAGTTCCTGAATGTCAGCAGTGTTTGCTGTGGAATACAGTCTGATCTGCTTGTTTTGTATAACCTTCAATGCTTTTGGGTATGACGAAGACCTGGGAGTCATTACGTCCAATACGGCGTACTGGATGTGAGGATGCCAAAGGACATCCTATCGTTGGAGCAGATGAGACCAGCTCCAAGGACCATTCTAACAACCAGCCCGCTGCAAAGTTCAGATGATTATATCTTTTTTACTTTACACCCTAGACGAAAACAAGCACTTGACCCTTGCAGTGCATGGGGTAGCCTCACTGCAAGGGTTAAGATTATTTCTGCCTAGAGTTTTTCTTTAAGAAGAGTACCAAAGGTAAGTGTTAGGAGGGGGGATGATTTGTAAATGTGAAGTTCCTCTATATGACTGCTTTCCTGCTACCACTTTTGCTGGACATATATCTGGAATGGGTAACTGAATATTAGTGTTACAAATGGACACATTGGTGTGAAGGCACAATCAGACCTTTCATGTACTGAAATGTATCCCTAATGTTTTCACCTAAATAAACTTTGCAACTTGTTTGCTAAACTAAGGGGGCAGCCGAGTGAATAAAACAGCCAAGGTGTTGTGAGCCGAATGGCACTCGGCTATTCACTCCGGCTCAGTATGGCTGATTTCAACTGTACATCGGCTGCCTTCAGTCAGCCGAACCGAACATGCACAGGCTATTCACAATAGCGTGTAGAGCAGCTAAAGGCGGCCGAGCAGCTCAGCTGAGCCGAAGTGGCAGCAGAAGCGGGGCAAACGGCCTGCCGAATGCCGACCGTTCGCTCCGCAAATGAGAGCTTGGCGGAGCCAGCCATGATTTCACGGCAGGCTCCGCCCAGTTGTAATGACAGATCAGCATCCTGGGGAAGCTGATCTGCCATTAAACAATAACAAGTGGGCGTAGCCGGCCGTGACGTCATGGCCGGCTCTGCCCAGTCGTTATTCATTGGCCAGGGCCTGCTAGAAGACTCTAGCAGGTGCCAGCCAATAGGAAACAGTTGGGCGGAGCTAGCTGTCACTGCTAGCTCCGCCCAATTGTTTTTCTTTTGCCAGCATCTTTGCCAGCGTTTTTTAAAAAGTATTTTTAATTTTCTCTTTTTTAATTTTCTTTAAACTATTTTAATTTCGACATTTTAAAACAATTTGTAAACTTTTTTTTCCTTATTTCACTTATTTTCTATTCTGCTTGGTACCTCGGCAGCATTCGGCTAATCACTCACTGCCGTTCGTCCCCTATGAGAATAGGGCGAACGGCAGCCAGGGAGCTGCTGGAGCTCTGGCTCAGCCGATCCAGATGTTGGATCGGCTGAGTCGAAGTCCCTCTGCACTTCCGCTCAGCTAAAAATGCAGAGCATGTTCGGCTGAACAAAGGCAGCTGATATATGGCTGATTTCAGCTGATATACGGCTGAAATCAGCCCTACTGAGCCGGAGTGAATAGCAGAACATAGTTCATTTCACTTCGGTTGGCAGCTTTGTGAATAACCCCCTTAGTCTTATAGTTCAACTCTAGCCAAACTTCTTTATCTCATTTTAGGTAGAGCGAGGAAGGGTTAGAGCCTCTCTTCAACTTTAACTACCCTCTGTATCCATATTGGATAATTTTCTCACTACTTCCTGTTAGGACAGGAAATGATAGGAAGTGTCTTCTGACAAAAAGCCTAACAGAAAATGTAACTCTTTAACACTCAAAAACTCTTCAAAAATAAAAAGCCTGGGCAGGTTTAGACTTTAAATTATTATAACTGTTTACGAAGTAAGATTTATATTATCAACTTGTTCGGCTTTATTTACTTTGCCTGTGTCCATCTCTCCAGTTATCAGAAGCAGAAACATTAACTGTCATGGAAAAATTGTCCTCCAACTCAAAATAAAGAGTAGATACAAACTAAGCCAAATAACAAGGCAAATATAAGCCCATCAAAAGACAACTAAGCATAGCGATAATGATTTGAGATTAGATATTTATATGCTTAGTGCTGTGTAAAACTGGCACTGGTTCTCTTGGATAAGGATGGGCTCTGGTTCCCTCTGGGTTGGGTCTGAGGCTGAACCCATCCCTACACTTGGATACACAGAAGGCTGGGAAGTGTTCAAATGTCTATGGGCACTGTGACCTCTGCAGAACCATGCAGTGGCGGAACTACCGCCGGTGCAGGCGGTGCGGACGCACCAGGGCCTCCGGCCTCTAGGGGGCCCAGCACAGTCCAATGAACTGTACAATTGTAAGTAATGATCAATAATTCGGAAGGATTTTCCTATCCAATTGCTATAATTTCTCTGAGCTAAGGCTGGAACCAGGAGTGTTTGCTCTGTCCATAAACAGGAATGCGTGGCAGTTATAGGCCTGAATATTTATGCAACAATTTTTTATGAAACAATTGTTTGACGCCCAGCTCTTTCAACTGCAATTCTTTATGTTTATCAACTGGATTACTGGGCAGGAATCATCTCTGGGATTGAAAATATTAACCTTGTTATACCAGCTTCATTTCAAATATCCTCTGTTCCGATAATCTCCTGAAACATATTTATTTGTGGACAGCTTTAAATGCCAGCCTTTTATTAACGTTTAGAGGCTCTTTAAAGTTTAATAATTTTCTTTATCCAGGCAAATAAGTTAAAATGTATCTGAAACTTGTTTTTCATGTATAGGGAAATATTAAAACCCCTGCCAGGATTTACTGCTGACTATGTTCCTTCTGGGGAGCTTTACCCTCGATTACTGTTTGAAAATTGCAAAACTCAAGCTTAGCAGTGAATCCCTTTGAAGTCTAAAAGGGCAAAAAAGGGCATAATAAACTGGGCACAGTCATGGGGGTCATTTAACAAGGCAAAAACTTTTTTTTTAAATAATACTGTACAGCATAGAGAGGAGACTTTAATGGTGACATGGAAAACAATAACAATCCTTTAAATTACATGCTTTAGAAATTCTTTTAAGCTGTATGTGGCATTATGGGCACAACATTCTGGCATCACATATTTTGGATGTGTAATTTTAATTGTAATTTCGTTATTTTTTTTACTTTTAGGTTTAGCTTGCTTTAAATACAGATGCAGCACGCCAATCTGATTCATTTCAAATTTTAAAAAAAGTTTTATTTAGGTAGCTTTGTCTATGTTTTACTGGTGGAAGTAGCAGCCACAACAGAGCTAAAAATAGGAAAGTGTACATCTAAAGCCCTGAATTTTACATAAATTGGCAAGATTAATAAAATGTCAGAACAGTGCTCAAAAACACTTTAAAGCCACAACCCCTCTTTACCCCGACCCCTTCTTATCCCTTTATTCCCAATATATTAAAAATATAGACTTTAGCTATGTGTTTAGTAGAATTTGGCTAACATCAAGACAGTACACAAGCAATCAAATAGGCAGCAAATAGAAATAAACAATGTAGGTTTAGTTTTGCAAAAGAAATTAGAGTGTACTGAGAGAAAATAGCAACAAATAATGTTCAGTGGCTGGACAGTATATAATCCGCTAGGTTTGGCAATAAAACAGGGAGAGACCAGGCAGATTGTATCTTGCAATAAAAATTAGACATGTGCACCAGCAAAAAAATCGTTTAGTTTAGTTTCGTTTTGAAAAAAAAAAAAATTTGTTTCGTTTCGTTTTTCGGGTCCGAAATTAAATTAGTTTCGGACGAAATTCGTTAGCGGTTGTCCTGCCGAAATTCGTTTATGAAATAAAAAAAACTTTACCCTCCCATGGCTGGACTTGAACCAGCAAACTGGAGGGAAACCTCACGCTTTTTTTTTTTTCATTTTCTGCAGTCTGCAAAAAAAAAATGTTGCTGTAACGGAATATAGTCACCAATATTTTTGATTGTTGGAGCACCAGAATAGTCCAAAAATCCAACGTGCAACTCATGGTTTTCCCTGCAGCAAAGATTAGAAATTTGGCAGCTAAGAGCCACCTGCTTTCTGATTTTGCATGCACCAGGTCCGCACACAATGCTTCTGATCCCACTGTCATTGGACAGCAAGAGGGAAGGCTTGCGATTTAAGGTGGGGGGGATTAAAAAGTGTCACAGATCACCAATGTTGTGGGATTGTTTTGGGAGAGGGGGCGTAAAGTGCCAATAACCACCAATGAATGGGGATGAAGTCAGGGGTTTAAAATGCAACTGGCGATCTATGATTGAGATTGTTTTTTGTTTTTTTAGGGGGGGTGATGGATTTGGAAATGCAATTGACAACCAACGATTGTGGGATTGTTTTTGGGAGGGGGGGAGGGGTTAAAGTGCCACTGACCATCAATGATTGTGGGATTGTTTGGGGGGATTAAAGTGTTTTGGGTTTACCCTTGTCATCTAGCCATTGTAACTTCATCCTCCAAGGAACTTTCTTCCTGGTATGGGGGATCTAATCGGTAGCCACCTAATAGTGGTCCCTCTTCTTTATTTCCTGTCCCATAAACACAACAATAAGTAAGACGAAATCTGTCCAAAATAAGGACAGTTGTCACCAAAACATGTGTCCCCATTGGTATATTTTGCCTCCAGGTATTGTGCACTTTAGTCCCCGGGACAATGGTCAACAGGACAGATAGCGACTTTATGCAAGCTTAAAGAAATTCTCATTTTTGGTGGCTGTAATTTAATATTATAAATTCTGCTGTGGATGTAGAATAGGTGGTATGTTATCTAAGTGCATGTGAGTTAATAGAGTGATTCTGATTTCAACAGAACAATTGGTTAAACTCAAAATTCTGATGCAAGACCTAGCCACAGACAGGTTGATTTAGTTTTATGAACACAAATGACATTGTAGCATTCTCAGAGTTGGAGTTCTGCATTGTCATCATAGTCTGTATCCTAGGACAGCAGGACTTCTAGGAACAAAACAAAGAAATCCTCTTATAATGTTTCTGTTTGTGAGTAACTCATTCCATTGTAGGATAACATTTTCCAAGCTGCCACTCTACTGGCCAACACAATCCATCTGTGTCCCTGCATGGTTTGCGCATTTCATTTTGTTGGTGGAATAGAATAGTGTGTACTTAGGACTAGACAGCTAGAAATGTAAGGGTTGCAAGGGGCGAATCTTTGGTTAATTTTCCAGCAATTGTTTCTAGGGGTACTGACACTAGGGGGTCTATTCATAATCACAGAAGTTTGCCCTTTGAATGTCTGTGAAAATTTGCTCTGTGCGAATAGAGGTCAAAACAAAATTCGTAAGGGTTTTTCCGTTACAGGTGAAATTAATTTTTGAATGTTTTTTATGTAATAGTGCATTATTGCCACTAGATGGAGGAAAGGAGCATAGGAAATAAGTGTTTATTTTCTAGTCTCCTCAGTGCGATATAATAGTTATAATCAGATATTACATAAAAAAAGAAACTTTTATTTTGGCACATATCTGAACGTGCACACATATTCCTCTAGGTTTAGGAAAAACAGTCAGCTTCAGCTTCTCTTCCCATCCTTGATGTGCTTTGTATAGCTATGACATCTGATCCTAGGAGGGCGCTGGTCGTGAGCCGAATTGGTCAGGAACCGAATCAAACTGTGATCAGACCGCAATCTCGACTAGAGGAAGCCACGACCAGTGTCAGAGCTGGGAAGATGGCTGCGGTTGTGTTCGTCACCCAATGCGGAGTTCGTGAACAGAAGCAAAATTTTGCCGAACTTACTGTTTGCGAACAGAGGCGTTAGTGAACCGAGATACCAATGTATATATATATATATATAAGAAAAAATATTAAATGTCTTACCTGTGTGATGATAGTAGATGAGTACTCACTGTCATCATAGACCCATCCATCTATACATGGCTCTTTTTCTGCATCACTTGTGTTACTTGAAGAGGTTACATTAGGCACATGGAATTGGGGGCTGGTATAGCGGAAGCATCTAGACGGTTTTCCATTAGACTCAACTGGAATAAAGGTTTCCACCCAAATCCCAGTAAAATTGCCATCCTCCCAGGAATCATTGAGTTTACAGCGATGTTTCGGAATTGCTGCGGTGAAATTCTGCAAGAGGTTATGGCTGGCTAGCATGAACACAGGCAGGGATAGCAGAATGACATGTATTATCTGGTAACGTCCCATGCCCCCAATTCTCATCAAGATCTCTTGAAATGCCATGACTGCTCATAGTCCATACACTGACTACTAAGTAGAATGGAAGCTGCTTGTCAACATTATAGCCAACTGACAGCAAGCCTTATGCTGGTTGTTGGTAGATTAAATGCTAGGAATGACTAACTGTTTAGCATTAGGACTATTTAAGAGTGCCAAGCATTGTCATGTGTTAAACTTTTACTTGAATAATGAAGCATTAACCTGAAAAATACAACAAATTAGGTATAAAGGGCAATGCTGGATGTACCGTTCAAGTTTCATTATGAAACGTAAAGTATGCCATGAACTTATGTAATATATTTTTCCCAACTCAGATGAAATATTATGAAATTAAGTTAATAGCATTGAAGGGGTATATAGCATATTCCCATTATTTTAACTTATTTTCTAAATATCACAGGGGCACAGACTTTGCCAATGCTTGGTTATCCTCTATTCAAATGGTGGAGTTTTCTTTAACCAAAATAATATGCCACACAAGAGTTTCTCAGAAAGTTACCAAGCTAATGGGTCACAGTTATAAGAACATTCAAGCTGGTATTTCACAAAATGATGGTTAAACCTGCCCCTGATATCTTTGATATCTTGGACACTCCAATAATCAGTGCTATAATTCCCAATTTTGTTTCTGTCCACCAGGGAGTTTGAGTGTTCCTGCCCACTTTTCTTTGCTCCAGCTCCCCCTATTATAATCTCCATATTAAAAAAAATTAAAATCCAACAGGAAAAGTAGGACCCACTCATTATGGGCACAGCAGATGTGAAGATTAAGTGCAGATATTCACTTGTAGAGTCCATGAGAAATGTAAGAAATTCCTAACCTCTATGACATCTGAAAAGTAAAATCGAAGTTTTGGGTTGATTGACTCTTTTATATATAAGCAAGGACACTTCCACTTTGCTAAAATTTGAAGGAGGTCCAGCATAGCCTTCTGTAACTTAGACCAGTACTCTGAATGTTGAGACCACTCAGTTTATTTAGTTTTCCTATACTACATAGGTTATTTAGCTTTATTTGATTTTCGATTGACTCCGGTGATTTTCAGCTATATCTAATTTAAACTCTATAAAGTATTGCTCAGTGTTTTTATATCCGCCATCTTTGGTGAGACTTTGTCCCCGTCCGCCATGACATAGAAGTCTATGGCGGACGGAGCGAGCCGGAGACGCCGCCGAGACTGGATGCCGACACCGAAGGAGCAGGCTGACACGGTGGATTCACACAAGGGATTTTTTGCTACCCTGGAACGACTAGTCCCAGCACTGACAACGGGACTCCTCGTGGCATACCTTCTTTAAAGGCAGAAGAGCGGGGACTTCAGCACAGGGAGGCTTAACCCTATGTGGCAACACCGCAAGAAACAGCAGGTAAGGGTAAAAAGTAAAAATATGTCCATCCTGAGAGCTTGCATGGCGAGGACAGAAAAAAGAATGGGGTCCAAGCCACAGGGGGCAAAACTTATAGAGGGCTTGTCCTATGGGGTTAAGGGGTGGAGCGTTAACCCATTGTGTGCTGCCATGATGTGCCAGGAAATATATATACATATATAAAATACACATACACATATATAAATATACTTTATAACAAATTGTTATTTTTTTTAGGAAGGTTCATTACATCCTATAATTTTATTTAGTAACTTTATGATAAGACAAAAACATTCAGATATGTCTAGAGTCATAGATTTTAATGATTCTGCGCTGGACCTATAAAGATGTGTAAGTGCTAAAGTGCAAATTTAATTTGAAGGCTGCAGCAAAACGACCGTTAGGTCAAAATATTAAACTTTCAAATTATGCAGCGCCCGCAACATATAACGTGTTAATATCATAAACCATAAAATCAAATAAATATATGTGACTCAAATGTATAAACTATAATAGTATAATACACACATGAATATTAGTGACTTAAAGTCTTTCTAAAAAACCATCATTGGCCCTGGATCATTGATCCCACAGGGTATGTGGACCAATTGTTGTTAGTGACAACCACCGTATAATTGTTGAATGATGTGATGTGTCAAATCCAAAGAGGACTGTTCAAAAAGTATTCGAAAAAATATTCAAAAAAAGGTGTTCAAAAGAAGTTCCGTGAACTATGTTGGGGATAAGGGTTAATACCACATATATCCCCTCGAAAGGTGCACTCACCGTGAGGTAGTGGCTGTGATAAGCAGCCGGAAACGCTCAGACAGAAGCTCTCAGGACCGCAGCATCGATCCACCGTCTCGCTATGGTCTTCAATAAAGGATGTGTTTGCGTTTGATTGAACTCTCTGTAGACAGCAGGGAACAACTGTGGATGGTATCACTATTCAAGAGTTGTTGGTACGGCTTCAGGATGGACCTAGGACAGGTTCGTTTGGTAATGGTGGGAGGCAGCGATGGAACAAGGCTATTACTTCGTGCAGTAATACAGTCTCTGTTTCAGTACAGAGAGTCACTCGCTCGACGATCCAGAACGATGTCTAGAGTCATAATATTCAAGTCTCTTTTGACCCGCATAACCTTAATAAGTATGTATTTATATGCATTTTTATTTATATTAGCAAAAGAGATCTTTCAGATTGTTGCTTATTTGTGTGATTTGAGAATTCTGTAACATGGTGCTCTGTGGAGGAAAGGTTGGAGCTGTTTTTACATTTATTCACAGCATCCGGGTATTCTTGAAACATTTTCCTTACGCAAGTTCATATAACTTTAAAGAAAACACGTTTTTTAAGTATTCATGTTGTATTAACCCGCATCTAAAAACAGTTTTGGTCTTTGCTTCTTCCAAGAATTTTAAATAGTAATTTATATATCATTTTTCTTGTGCTGATATATATTCATGTGTAGCGCTCACCCCCAAAGGAGCCGCTGAATATTGAAATAGGTTCTCCTCCCTGTTGGTTCCAGCTACCGGTCCCCTTTGATCAGCAACAGCACACCGACACTCATGGACAGAATGGCTCGAGTCTTAGGGTTCTTTTTGGGGTATTTATTTGCAAGTTCAACAGGAGAGAGAGGGTTTAGGATCTGTAGGATGCCCTTGGAAATACTTCGGAGGACAGCTTTCTCCCTTAGCAACCGCTAAGGCCGATAGCACTGTGATCTGGTCCCAGAGACCAATAGTAGTAGTAATACTGTGAACAGATACCTGGAATAGGGTGTGGGATCTCCCTTGTGGGTCCCAGACGGACGCTCTCATCAGATCCTCTGCGGTACCCCTCAACAAGCGGACTCCTCCCCGACCCAGCTTCCATCAGGTATTTTCCTTAGCAACAGGATCTGGAATCTCTGTGCCCTCAGCATCTGCAACTGCCAAGGAGCACTCCAGGTTAGTGGTAGTATCTTCTTAGAACAAGGCACCCAGCACCTGCCACGTGTATGGGCCCAGCAAAATATCAGTGTATCCTAGGCATCTAGGTCCCTCAGCACCTGCCATGTGCTGAGGCCCAGGCCAGTTTCCTGCATCTCCACAGACCTCCTGGGGCGAGGCCCCTAGGGGGAAGAGAGCTCTCCACAGTGTCCCCAGACCTTTTATTACCTGCCCTCATCATGCCTCTGAATCATCCTACTCAGGGATTGGCTAGGGTCAGGTGCATAGTCATAACCTGAGGGTGGATCCTCCCTCACTGCATGCCAAGGCTCCCTTTTCCTCAGCAACATGAGGAGCAATCGATCCAGCAGATTCAGGGACACATATAGAATGCAGAGCTCTGTATAATCAGTATCTAGACTGGTTACAGTCCAGGTATCTCTAAATTGAATAGCGACATTTTAGAGGGCGCTACACATGCATACCCTTACTTAAAGTGACACTAAACTCAGAAATGAAATCTTAAACCTGCCTTTAATTACTTTAACTATTAACAAAAATGTAGGTTATTTGTGCATCACTCAGCTATAGATGCTCATATCATCTCTGAATTTAAGGTGACACTGTTCTTCCTTCTGGATGATGGCTACTTCCCCATGGTCCCTGTGTGTGTTGTAAAGTAGCCACCGTTCCAAGCTCGCTCCCATGATGACATGGGAATGTCTAACTTCCTGTAGTGAGCTATGTGAACCACAGAACACCTCCTCCCTATATTATGGAGATGAGGTAAGGGGGAATGTTCTGTAATTTTACCACATTTCTTGTCCAACGGAGACAAAGCTGCTCACCCTATAACAGAAGGTGTGTTACTGGAAAGATCACCAGGTGAAAATAAAGGAAAAATAGCCTGAAAAAAGAAACATTAATGCAGCCACCGTATCTAAAGACTTAGGACAAAGGACTGTTTTGGGTTCTTGGGTCCACTTTTAAGTGGATTTAAAGTAAAAAATTGACTTTAGGGGGTGATTTACTAACCTAAACACACGCACGCACCAGGTGCGTGTGATTTGTGCACAGCAAAACGTATTTATCAACCAAAAAGTCTCTAAAAGCATATTTCCACTAATGCCATATATGGAAAAATCATGCACATGATGCATATATAATGCTGCTTCACAGTTTAGACAAAGATGGTTAGCTCATGCATTTACATCCCTGCATTCATCAACGCAAGCAACACAACATAGAGCTAATTTACACAACATCACCTTGCAATTCATGGAGGGCTTTGCACAACACACCTGCTGGGTGTGTACACACTACAAAGGTGTCTAGATTCCACCAATAGATCATGCTGGGAGGGAACACACTACAGAGGGGTATACTTGTTCGTGGTGTGTTTATAAGGTTAGTAAATCAACCCCTAGGTCTCCTATTCACCACAACACAGTGGCATGCATTGACTTCATGGTGAACAAGCAGTCTGCCTTGTCTACGCATTAGGACCAGGCTGGACAAGCCTACGCAGTGCAACCCAAAGTATCTGGTGTAAAAACCCCAACCGTGAATTATTTAGTGGGTCCAGCAAGGGGGAGCAGCAACAGATTCAAGGAGTTTAAAAGACAAAATCTAACGTTCTACCTTATTAAATAAGACAGTTACTACTACCGGGTAAGCAATTATTGTCTAAATACAAGAGCTTCATGTATTCCTAATTGAATCTTGGCGTGCTTTGTGTATTATTTCCAAATCTGTGCAGTAATCCAGGGTTAAACTTTGCCTCTGTGTAGGAGCTTCTTGCAATAATGAGTGGTCACTTCTGCTCTC